TAGGTGTTTAAACTTATTATTTACTTCAAATACACTGCAAATGATGGATGATAAACTCTGTGAGGATAACATACATTTAGCCTAAAATACAAATGTGTTGGTCTAAAATGTAAATGTATAGAAGAGTTCTTTAAGTTTTAAATTGTGAACTTTTCAAGTCATTGATTTGCTTGCTTTGTGTTTAGTGTCTTCAATATTAGAAAGCGATAACAAACTTAGAGGGAGGCAGACATGATTTTTATAAGGTTTCCTGGTTTCAGAAATTTTTAAAAAAGATTATTCTTAGTATTTTCAGAGATAATTCAGTATTCTGTGAAGAGTTGTGAAGGTGAAGAGCACTATGTAAATGCACAATTTTATTAGTAATCTTTGACTGTCAACAATGCTTTTCCCAAGTCAAAATATATTTATTGCACTTCTGTTGTCCAGTTCCCTCTCTGAAAATCATTATTTTTAACTAGCTAATAGCTTTCTATTGTTTAGGATAAAATTGTTTAGCTCAGTAACGTCTCAGCTAAGAAAACCATGAAACAGCCAACTATTTCCAAGTGGGGGATTTGACACTATCTCGGTCATTAATTCTTCCAAATTTTTGGGTAAAGTTATTTCATTGTTGATATAATAATGCTACATGAAAAAATTAAGGAAAATAAAAAGCAAGAAAAAAGCAAAATATCACTCCAAGTTTTTATAATCTCACAATAGCTGCCATTAGCTTTAGGTAAACATTATTTCATACAACTCTCTGTACAATAGAGAGATATACACTCACTAACACACATACATGTAGGTAGGAATAATTTTTTATAAAATAATATCATATAATAATGGTACTTTGGAAGTACCAAGATTAAAGTATCAAATAATGTAGTTTAGAAGTACCAAAATTAATTTAAGGTTTTAACACAAAGAAAGATTAAGTGAATGGGTTAGTTTGAATAAATATTGTTTACCACAAGAGTTCATGAAGATCCCACTAATATTAAAACCAAGAGATTATAAAAGCATCAGTGATGTCAAAACCTCTGTTTAATTTTTATATAGCATTATGTGACCTCTTATGTGAAGATAAGAGAGTTCTTAAATTGCATCCAGCCTCTTTATTTGATCTTCAGTGTTTTTATTATTTATATTATTTCTTTTACTTTATCAAATTTTCTAAATCATTCTTTTCATATAGCATAAGTATCACTGATGTTGAATTTTATGTTTCCTGCATGTGAGGGATTCAGTACTCACCAAATACCAGTGATCCTTTTAAACATTGTTTCCACTGAGATCTTTCCTTTGATTTATCTTTTGGTTGGTTGGGTTTTCCACTTTTCTGGAAAGGCTCACAGGTGTTATATTCCAGGACTTCTTAAATGTTTCAGCTGGTCATTTTGGTTCTTTCATTATTTTAGGAAATTTTTATATTTTGTCTTTGGACATGTTTTCTGTGCCATCAGTTGAATGCCATGCCATGTATACTGATCGCCACAGCCTGGATCATCTTTTCCTTCCATGTGTATCACATTCTCTCTACTTAATTAAATTCTTAATCTAGTTCCTTTACATGCACTTGATAATCTCATGACTATGTGTATGTTTGTGGCTTGATGCTTATAATTTATCTATTGGTTTGAAAATGGTGTTTGGCTTCTCTGTTTCTCTGGCTCTGAATCTCTTTTTTTTTTAATTTCATTTGGTTGTTTATCTTAGCTTTGAACTCTCATATTATTGAATTTTTATTCTTTTAAGTTCTTTGATAGCATGATGTATTAATACTTGTAGAGAATGAGCTTCTTTTTTACTGGATTTGTTTGATTATTTGTTTTTCTCAAAATAAATTCTACATCTGGTTTTTCATGCCATTATCTCCCCTGACTTTTTTTTTAACTTTTTGTATCGTGTGTGTATGTTTCTAGTAAATTTCATCTAGCTTATGCTAAATAGCAGCATCTCTGAACAGACCTCCTATTGGAACTGATTCAGAGGGAGGGTGTTTGCAATTTATCTTTACCATATTTGAGAACTGTTGCTCCCAGCGAACTGAGTTTTAGAGTCATGTCATGAGAGTTCTAGCCACTTTTTCAGCACCTGCTGGTAGGGATGGGCCAGAAAAGAGGTCTTGTTAAAGCCTGAGTCCAGTCTAGGTTGGATGACCTGACTTCTGTTTTCTGTTCTTAGATTTTGTCTTTGTTCTCTAGGTAGAGTTGTACTCTTATTCCTGTGTCAGTATAATTTGGGGTTTCAGATCATTTTCCCAGTTTGGAGTGAAGCCCTATGAACTAGTGAGCCCTGAAGTTTCTTCTGCATTTGTTCTGAGCCTGAGACCTGGGCTCTAATATTTTGGGCATCTATTCTTGAGGATTTTACTGCAACTTCTTCCTAGTTTCTTCTGGCTCTGTAGACTATGTGGTATTGGTGAGATTTGTCAGAAGTCGACTTTTCTTTTTCTACCAATACAGCTTCTGAGCCCTGGTTAGGAGCCTCGCTCTTTTACCTAGAATCCCATTTTTCTGCTTGGCCATCATTTTTTAATGCTCATGTAATAAAGGGTTTCTTTCATTCTGTGGTTGTTGTTGTTCTGTCACTAAGTTGCATCTGACTCTTTGCAACCCCATGGACTACAGCATGCCAAGCTTCACTGTCCTTCACTGTCTCCCAGAGTTTGCTCAACCTCATGTCCATTAGTTGGTGATGTCATCTAACCATTTTATCCTCTGTCACCCCCTTCTCCTTTTGCCCTCAATCTTTCCCAGCATCAGGGTCTTTTCCAATGAGTTCTTCACAGGTTCTTCACATAAGCTGGCCAAAGTATTGGAGCTTCAGCTTCAGCATCAGTCCTTCCAATAAATAGTCAGGGTTGATTTCCTTCAGGATTGACTGGTTTGATCTCTTTGCTGTCCAAGGGATTCTCAAGAGTCTTCTCCAGCTCCACAGTTGAAAAGCAACAGTTCTTCGGTGCTCAGCCTTCTTTATGATCCAGCTCTCACATCTGTACATAACTGCTGGAAAAAAACCATAGCTTTGACTATATGGACCTTTGTTAGCAAAGTGATGTCTCTGCTTTCTAATATGCTGTCTAAGTTTGTCATAGCTTTCCTTCCAAGGAGTAAGCATCTTTTAATTTCATGGCTGCAGTCACCATCCACAGTGATTTTGGAGCCCAAGAAAAGAAAATCTGTCAGTTTCCCCATCTATTTGCCATGAAGTGATGGGAGCAGATGCCATGATCTTAGTTTTTTGAATGTTGAATTTCAAACTAGCTTTTTCACTGTCCTCTTTCACCCTCATCAAGAGGCTCTTTAGTTCCTCTTCACTTTCTGCCATTAGAGTGGTATCATCTGCTTGTCTGAGATTGTTGATATTTCTCCTGGCAATGTTGATTCCAGCTTTTCATTATCCAGCCTGGTACTTCACATGATGTCCTGTTCATATAAGTTAAATAAGCATGCTAACTGTTGAGTTTTGACCAGCATACAGGTTTCTCAGGAGACAGTAGTACTACTTTTGAATTTCAGTGATTCCCCCACCCCCATTGTTGTTCAGTCTCTAAGTCCTGTCCAACTCTTTGGGACTCCCATGGACTGCAGCACACCAGGCTCCCCTGTCCTTCACTGTCTCCTGGAGTTTGTTGGAACTCATGTCCATTGAGTCAGTGATGCCATCCAACCATCTTATCCTCTGTCACTCCCTTCTCCTCTTGACTTCAATCTTTCCCAGCATCAGAGTTTTCCAGTGAGTCAGCTCTTCATCTTTATTTCATCAATTTTTGGCACATGATTGGCTTGTGGTGTCCGACTTCATTCTTCCTCATACCTGAGAATCTCTGTCTTTTACACTTCAATGATCAATTAGATTTCTGAACACTAATGAAAACAACTACATTTTTGCCTATTTCTAGACATAAAAGCTGACAGTAGGCCTTTAAAGAAAGCTGACTACAAACATCCAAACCCATGGCTGATTCATATCAATGTATGGTAAAAACCACTACAATATTATAAAGTAATTAGCCTCCAACTAAAATAAATAAATAAAACAAAACAAAGAACTGGCTATCCCCACTCCACTTACCTGCCTCATTAGAGCTTTCATTTTCTGGGGTCTGTTGCTTCTTTATTTTTTATTTTAAAGACTAGTTTTCTCTTCTGGATATAATTACATTACATATAGATTAATATGTACTTTGGCTTTCTATAAACATCTACTTGATTAATTTGGTTAATATTTTAAACAGTATTAATAATGCAGGATTTTATTAGGCCATTCTTAAATATTTATATGCTGGTTGAACAAGAAAGTCTTTTCTATGGTCACTATAGAAGCCACTTTATTGAGTGCAGAAGTAAAACTGACATGTGATTTGCCATTTTTATGTTATTATCTTATTCCTGCTGTTACTGCCTATTTTGATATTTCAGAATGGGGATATTATTTTTGGTTTTAACTTTTAAAGTATCCATTTAGGACAATGACAAAATATTCTTTTCTTAGCTGATATTTGGTTCCTCTTAACTCACAAGTTTGGGAGAGAATTTTTAGATTAAAACAAACTCTACCCTGTTTAAGAGTAGAAGGAGTGTTCCACAGTTACTGTTTAACTGGGGAGTTCTGGTTTGGGCTGAATCTATGCTTTCACTTTTGAGGATCTGTCACATATTCAGGTTGCAGAGGAAAACAATTCTAACTCAAATATGTGTTGTATTTTTGTTTGTTTACCTGAAGTACCAAGAATTTCCAGAGTTTAGAGATACTCACACACTGATACATTTCAAAGGCAGCTGCAGGTTTGGGTTCAGTTGACTGTATTGTAGAGAATATGAAATTTGTGACGTGATATCATAAAATCCTTCTATACATTGGGGAGGAGGGTGTGTGTGTGATTCCTCCTTTTATGCGTGTTATAGATTTGAGGAGACAAAAAGCATGCGCCATGCACTGTGTTTCTATTTTCAAGACTTACATACTGCATAAAGAGTACGCAGCCCTCCTCTTTGCTTCTGCTGCCACAGAACCCGTGTAGAAGGAACCTGACAAGACGGACAGCCGCATTCCTGCCCAGGTCCACCTCCCGCGCGGCACACTCTCATTAGCCATGACCGGCTCTCCCTTCTGTTCCGGTGTCACCGGTCTCTCACAGGTGTGTCTTCCATCTCTCCGTTTGCAAGTAGCACTTACTCATTCTCTGTGCCCACATTTCTAAATAACCCCTGTATTTGCTTGCAATATGTTTAAGCACCAACTTCCTCCTTTAAACCAATTACTGATGATTTTTTCCCCATCATCAGTGTTTTTACAGAGCAGTTGAATTCTTTCAAGTTCAGGTTTAAAAATGTTGAAAGTCCCTATTTACCTAGTTAACATACATTCTATATGATGTTGCATAGTCAGTATATATAATTATTGACTTTTTGTTTCCTTTTATGATATGTTTGAAAGGTTGAGCAAAGAAAAATATTTCTTTTTTCAGCTCTGTTAGGTCTGGATAAAACATGTCTAGATATTTATAGTTAGAAACCTTCCAGTGAAACCACCGTTTATTTTTTTTTTAATCCTTTCACTACCTAGTAGTGATATTTAAACAGTGAAGTCATTCCTTGAGTGTTCTCTCTAATCTTTATGTTTTTGAGCACTCTTGTGTAACAAGACAGGAAAGAAAACAGAAGCAGTTATTTTTTGAAAGAAAAAAATCATGAAAGAATTTAAGCAGCATTTATATTAATTTCTATTCCTATTTTTAAAGTAAGCACGGTGTTAGCACAATTTTAAATATCCAAATGCCAACAAAGTCAGTTCTTTTCTTTATAAATTTATGGGAAATTCTTCCTAACATGGGATGGATACTATGACAACCTTATAATCTGGATTATACATGAAAAATATTACTAATATTTAAATTTCCTATTTCATAGATATTAGCACATAGGTACTACTAGTAATAAGAACCGTCACAGAATTTTGATATATTTTATGTCAAATTAAAGAAAATTTGCCACTCCTTGGGAGAAGAGATATAATGGGAAAGAAGTAATTAATCTTCTTGTGAAACTCTAAATGAGACTGGCTATTATTACAATTAAGCTTGAATAAATGGGCTTCCCAGGTGGCGTTAATGGTAAGGAACTCACTTGCCAATGCAGGAGTTGTAACAGACACTGGTTTAACCCCTGGGTTGGACAGATTCCCTGAAGGAGGAAACGGCAACCGCCCGCAGTATTCTTGCCTGGAGAATCCCATGGACAGAGGAGCCTAGCGGGTCGTAGTCCATAAAGTGGACGTGACTGAAGTGGCTTAGCATGCAACATGCAAATGAGCCCAGGATGTTAGTTATGTCTTCCACATTCCAGGCTCTATTTTACCATTTTCTTGGGAGTAGAAATATATGTTATTGCCTATCGTATCTTATTACTAGTGATAGATGAAGGATAGATAGCCGTTGGTGCGGTGGCAGTGCATTTGGTAAAACATTCACAGTATGAACTAGGATAGACTGGAATGTATACTGGTGAGAGGGATTTATTAATTGGCTCATTGTTTTAGGAATTTAGAAATATGAGAAGAATAGTAACTGTAATGACAGTGTTGGATGATGCTTTCAACAAAGATAAGGTGGAGAGTGGAGAGAAAATATTAAGCAATTTAAAGCTAAATATGAAAGGCAAGATTCCCTGGAGGAAGACCTGGCTACACCATGGCATTATTTATGGTGATATGTGCCCAGTTCTTTCTCCAAAGAGACCTATGCACATTCAATCAGGTAACTATAAAATGTGGAAAAGGGAATACTCAAACATTTTGGGAACTAGATACAGGGTCAAATAGAATTGTTTAATTCTGCCAACTACCCCCTGAACAACTGGTAAATTGTTCATCATATTTCTTCTGAGCAGGAATCACAGAGATTAGCACCACCCTTAGAGACATAAAAACCCAGGATGGTGGTTCCCACTGTATTTCCATTTACCTTACCTTACCAGTCTTGGACCTGCTAAAACCTGGTGGACCCTTGAGGATATTATCAGATTACCACAACCTCAACCAAGTAGTTGCCCCAGTTTTAGCTGCTGCGCTAGGCATGATATTGTTGCCAGAGTACATTTATACAAAGTTGGGCACGTTGTTTGTGGTGATTAATCTGGGGAATGCATTCCTTCCAGTCTTAACAGGAAAGAGGATCAGAAAGTTTACATCTACATAAAACAGATTGCAGAATACTTTTACCTTTCCCCCAAGATACAAACTCTCTTGCCCTCTGGCAAATGGAAGCTCTGCTACTCTCTGCTAAGTACAGTCAGCCCCCTGAGTGCTTCTGCCCATCCATCTCAGTCTCTTTCATCTATTCTCAACCTCACAGCACCTTAACTTCTGCTCCTTTTTAACATTGTGACCTTCTGCATGATAGATAACTTCTTCAGACTTCATTTCTACCTTAATAAATGGGAATAATAATTATGCCTCATAAATGAGATCAGTTTTGTGTTAAAGGTTAGGTAAAATGGATAAGAGGAGAAGGCAATGGCACCCCACTCCAGTACTCTTGCCTGGAAAATCCCATGGGCGGAGGAACCTGGTAGGCTGCACTCCATGGGGGTCGCTAAGAGTTGGACACCACTGAGCGACTTCACTTTGCTTTTCACTTTCATACATTGGAGAAGGAAATGGCAACCCACTCCAGTATTCTTGCCTGGAGAATCCCAGGGACGGGGGAGCCTGGTGGGCTGCTGTCTATGGGGCTGCCCAGAGTTGGACACGACTGAAGTGACTTAGCAGCAGCAGCAGCAGTAACATGGATAAGACCTGGTGGCTCAAACTTTGTGATAATGTAATCAGGGTCTGTCTTAGCTTGGGCTGCTCTAACAAAATGCCACAAACTTGTCAACAACACAAATTTCATTTCTCAGAACTCTGGAGGCTAAAAGTCCTCGATCATGTGTGCTCGCATGACTGGTTTCTGATGAGAGCCCACTTCTGGGTTGTAAACTCCTCACCTCATGCTCATTCTCACATGGTGGAAAAGAAGAGCAAACTGGCTCTCTAGACTCTTCTTTTTTTATTTTTTTCCATTTATTTTTATTGGTTGGAGGCTAATTACTTTACAATATTGTAGTGGTTTTTGCCATACATTGACATGAATCAGCCATGGATTTACATGTATTCCACATCCCAGTCACCCCTCCCACGCCCCTCCCCACCCCATCCCTCTGGGTCTTCCCAGTGCACCAGCCCTGAGCCCTTGTCTCATGCATCCAACCTGGGCTGGTGATCTGTTTCATCCTTGATAATATACGTATTTCAATGCTGTTCTCTCAAAACATCCCACCCTCGCCTTCTCCCACAGAGTCCAAAAGTCTGTTCTGTACATCTGTTAGACTCTTCTTTTAATGGGACCAATCCCATTTATGAGGGCTCTACCTTCATGATCTAATAATAATCTCCCAAAAGCTCACCTCCAAATACTATCACATGGGGTTTAGGGTTTCAACACATGAAGTTTGGGGGAACACAATCCGTTAGTTAATAGCAGGATCTAATGAGGAAAATAAAATGGAATGTGCTTTAAGTAGTGGCAAAGAGGAAATTACCATATGTGATGCTGGAGATGAGAGCCAAACAAGGAGTGCTGAGGACCCAGAAATTGACAGCAGCAGAAGCGTTCATCCCCCACTAGGCTTGAAAGACAAAGGAATGAGATAGATGGGTGTTGTTAGAACTCAGACGTTAGGTTGGCTTGATGGAAACTGGAACCACAGTGGGCTTGTCTGGTGGGAGCTGAAGCCAAAGAGGAAATTCAGCCTTTCTCAAAAGAGCTGACAAAAGCAAAGGATGGAGAGATGAAGAGAGAATTACTGGAGTTGCTCTGTTTCCCTACCCTCCAGTAGCTTGCCTCTCAATGACCAGAAGTCAGTTGATGTTGAGCCAGGGAAACACCACCTGCAGAGGCCAGCTCAGAGCACAGGAAGAATCTGAAGCCAACAGTGCTTTCATCTTTAGGAGATCACATGACCTAAGGCCACATCTTTGTGGGTAGGAGTGGGTGTGGGGTGTCCCATGGATGTACTGCTATTGCCACTATCAGCTTTTCTGGAATTAAATTAATTCTGATTTAGGCAGTGAGGAACTAGAAAAGGAAACTAATGGAACACTAAGCAGCAATAGGAGCTGTATTTCAAATGCATTATGCTAAGTGAGAGATGCTAGACATAAAGAATATATATACCGAGTGATTCCTTTTATAGAAAATTCTAGAAAAGACAGTAGTGAAGGAAAGCAAATCAGTGGTTTCGGGAGGCCAGGGTATGGAGGGAGAGGAGAAACTGCAAAGTGGAATGAGAAAAATATTTTAGGATAGTGAAAATGTTCTTTGTTGTAATTGTGGTGCTGGTTGCATAACTGCATATATTTCTAAAAGTTTATCTAATAGCACATGTAAAATTGATGAATTCCATTTTATGTAACTATCAGTAATGCTGACCAAAACAAGTCGAATCAAATATATACAAGTAATTTTAATACATATTTATTTTAAGGGGATGTTAATTGATTTCCCAAACATGTCCCCCAATTTATTATCATTTACTGCAGTGTTCTGTTCTCACAAATCAGCATATAGATTGCTATCATGTGGGAGACTAATTTTCTAACCCATCCTTTGATTATGTTAAGAGAAGTAAAAATTCAGTTTTTCTAAAGTCACATTTAAAACTGTGCTTCTAACAGTTCATACTCATCTGAGTGATTGAGAAGATTTTCCACTTTTCATCCAGCATTTAATCATGGATGCCCAGTTAGAGTGTATGGTTCATATGAGGCACATGTTAGCATTTGACATCAGGTGCTTTAATGATTAATTTTCTACAACATCTAAACAAGGCATGTTAGAAGCGAAATGACTGTCAAGAACTCTGGATTCCACATGAAAGACTCGTTTCAGGAAATTATTTTCTGAATCAAACTCCGTGACCTTCCTGGAGGGAAAACTTGAAGTACTCTTGCCTAAAATAGCAAAGTTGGACTTCTAAATTATGGAAAATGACAAACACATTGAAAATCTGGAAGAAACTTCTTGGGAGATTAAAACAAACACAACAAAATACAGTGTATAGAAAAGAGCTGATTAAATTCAATATCATTATGAAAAAG